ATTTGGAATGGACATAAATTCCCATCTGACATATGTCCATTCGGAATGGACATAAATTCCAAACGGACATACAACAAGGACACTTCCATAGCTCAGCATGAGAAAATGCTCAAAATAAAGCATTATGTTTGGTTGAAGAATTTCCATTTATAGTAAGAAAAGAAGATAACCCAGAACCCACAGAATATGATTTTGTTGTAAATGAAATTTTATATTGTTTCAACAACTCCTGGAAAGTATGGGAAATATCTAAGAGGCATAAACTACCAAGTGAATATATTATTAACATACAGCATCCTCTGCTGCCAAATGTGCCAATAAGAAAATTTTTTCTTGACATTTACTTTGATGACTTTGGGACATATTGGAATGTTTATCACACTCTTGGGGGTGTCTATTTACAATTTGGAAACATGCCATTTAGACTGAGGAAACAGTTAAAGGATCACTTTTTACTTGGATTTGTACCTTTCGGGGGTGATGTTTATAAATTTTTTGGGCTGCTTCATAATGAAATCAAATCACTTACTGCAGATCTTCCACAGGGAAACAATCTGGCAAGTGTCAAAAGACACAGTGCAAATTTTGGTTGTTGTGCTTGTTTTGTACACAAAGATCAATTAACAAACTAATGATGCTTCAGTCATTTAACTGATAGCCAATATGCAGAAGCAATGGTATTACCAACTATAACTGCCAGGGAACAATATGCTACTGAATATGGAATAAGTTTGGTTCCACAGCCATTTGAAAATCTAATGTGGGAATCATCATCTGCAAACACCTCATGATGCATACCACACAATGGATGGGGGTAAAACCCAGAGGCTATTGGATGTAACATTCAGTTTGTTGACTTCCAATGGTGAATCGGAATGGTTGCATCATTGGAAGTTGATAAAGAACCCATCCCGATGGTCTAAACTGCTGAACCTGATCATGCACAGACAGAGTTTTATGTTTTCAGATGTATTGCAATTGGCTATGTTAATGCCATTTACTCTTTGACATTTCCTCACCTGGCATTATATAAAAAGTGATATATTGCAATCAATCAAACAATGTTTGAATTTATCACATATTGATCAGGTACCACTCAAGGTAATACAAGTCTGGGTGACTGAAGCAAAGGCCTTGAAGCTTGTGTTTAAAGTCACTTTAAATAAAAGCAATCAACAAGCTCTCAGCCAAATCTTAAAAGAACAAAACCATGCTCTGGTTGAGGTAAGTTCAAAAGCCTTTCAATACAAAAAAATCATTAATTTCTTTAACAAACAAAGTATTTAGGTATTTCTGGAGGATTTTTGTAATCTGTCAAATCTTCATCTAAATATTCATTTACCTGATGATGCAAAAAATTTTGCAACTCTTGTCAACACATCAGTGGGCATAAAAGAAATGGTTCATCACATTTTTAAGGGGATGGTAAGACACATCAATCGTAAAAATGTAGAAATGGACCTTATGAGAAGATACAATACTATTCACACACTAAGATACTTGGTAATGATCCACATTTCCCAGGTGGAAACTGGATAACACAAGTACCAGCAAAAAAATGCTTGAACAAATTACTGTCTGGCTGGTATGCAATCAAGACACCATCACTGGAAGAAGAAAATAATGTGGATATTGAAGGTTTGAAATTTTTTGTTATGCATTTGAGATGCACGAGTCTGTGCTGACAGTTATATAAATTTATTGTTTAAGGAACATCCCATGCCATTTTGCGTGATCCTCATTTTGTCAATATAAAGTCACACAAAAAATGGAACACTTCACAAATTGATGCTGCAGGATTTTCAAAAAGATTTGATATTGATAATCCTCTGTATAGAGACTTTTCTGCTGCATATTCAGATTATATGGAAATGACAGCAGCAGTGATAAACAAAGGTCTCGAATTCTATGATCACATTTCATATGATGTACTGGACAATGAGGAAGTTGAGGCTAATGTGCACTTGCATGTTGGAGATGTAGTTGATATAAAAGAAGAGGAAGAGGAAAATTCTTTTGCGATAATTAGAGCAATTGTTTTCCACAAGGCCAATAATGTAAACATGTATATATTTTTGGTTATTGACTGGTTTCAAGTGATTAGTGGCAAAGACAAACTGCTGAACTGTTTGTACTATATGCTGCAGAAGCCAGAAGAAATGCACTGGTGATGTGTATACCCAGTGACTTTGGTAGACCATACTTTGAATACTCATTTTGTCCATTGTTGCACTATGAGTTGTATGGGCAAACATGGTGAGAATAATAGATGTTATATTTGTAATGATTTTTTCTATAATACGGTATAATAAAATGTTATAAGAAATGGAGTTATCGTTATGGATGTAATAAATTTCATTAATGTTAAGTCAGGATAGACACATGCATTTTAAAATTTTCTCAATTGTGTAAGGATACAATATTTTATAGTTCTACATGATGCATAATAATGTTAAGACACATTCTGGGTCAACCCATTTCAAGATTGTCACATATTTTTTTCGACGTTTGTTGGTGCAAGAGATTATTCTAATGTGAATCCTAAAACGGGAATCCTAGAACGGGGCACAACATTAATATTAATAATAAGACAAAGTAGTACAAATAACAACGTAAAAAATGTTGCATAAACATCTTATATTACAAGTTATATTAACGTCAATTTGACAAAATAATACTAATACTAATCATATTAATGGTATGTCTGATAAAATAATTGCATCACTTCATTAAGTCACTTCATTTTATAAGCTTGTTTCTATATACTGCAACAACGTCATCATACATTGTACCGCGATGAAGGTTATTTTTATACTGTACGTATTGAGCACGATCTGACTATGACTGACTTAAAAGCATTATATTAGACCAACTCAATAGTCTCAGATTCATATTTGAAGTTTGCCTTGCCCAAATACATATATGTATGTATGTTTACTCCTCTCTCCAAAACGTTTACAGTAATAGACTAACAGTTTTTATTAAAATGTGCACTCCCCTGACAAAAGTCTCCGGATACTTGAGTGTATATCCTCCAACTATTATTATATGCATGTTATTTGTTCCGGGTAACTAGTACTGTGAATGCGAAACCCGACATACTGGATAAAGTTAACGAAAGCATGATCATCATAACTTATGGTAATAGTAAAGAATGTTAAGCATCACTCCCTAAAATCATCTCGGATGGAAAAGCTTTTTGTCACTATTACTTATACTATGCAATTTTGTTAATTAGTGGATTGAGAAAGTTTAATATTATTATACTACCCTAAAAAAGGAAATATGTTCGTTGTATATTTCCCGCACGCGATTATACAATATTAATAAATACTCGTGTATTAATTCCATTTTAATGATTACCATAACTATTGTCGAGGTGTACACCCAGTGAAACGTCGATTTTAAGTGTGAAGTAACAAAAAAATTCTTCTAACATTGTTGACGTTGAAGAAAATCATGTGCTCCAATTATACATAGTTATATATCGACTCATTGTCTCCAAACCCTGACTATGGGCAAAAAGCAATTCTCTACGCTTCGACGGTTTACTCGATGTCTAATTGACTGAATTTCCAATCTTATCCTCGATTCTTTTCCCCTGGTCACTTATGCAACTGTAATGTCTGCTGCGAAAGCTCCTCACTAACCACTCACCATTGCCGAGATTACATACTCTTTCTTTAAACCCAACAACCAGAGGGAACCACGACGTAGTTCCGATGTTAATGCAGTTATTGCTACGACTAAGACCTCCGTCGATTAATGGGTAAGAATTTAACTCCTCATAGAAGGATGATGGGAATTTGTCTGGGTTGGCTTGAGGGTGCACTGGAATTGGTTTGGATTGATTGAAGCAAGAGATTTTATCATATGCTGCAAGGCTTAGAGTGAACATAGTGTATGGTTCATTTGTTTCTTTAAGCATTATCAGAGAGCAACTGCTTTATTGTCAACAACATAGTTTTACTCTTACTTTCACCGCTCTTATCATACTTTTCATTTACCCTTTCTTCCCAACTAGCAATCGAAGCCCTATTAAGCATAGACCAGGCTATGTTCTTGGGTGAATATCTTGACTATGTGCAGAAATTCTATACCCATCCCTCCCTACCGTGGTACTAGTACCCAGCGACGATCTGGTTAAAGTACCGTGTGCCATGTGCAACTGCTATTGCCGAAGCATGGGCATGTTTGGAACATAAGTTTGATTTGTAAATGGGCGATTGGTTTTGAGATGGGTGCATGTTCTTCGTCTATATGGTAACCGAATGCTTGTTGTAATTGTGACATTAAAGGAATTATCTTTGGCTGGTGTGAGAT